GGGGCTGGGGTGGGATGGGGTGGGGGGGCTGCTTGGCCCTCAGGCCGAAGCTGGGACTACGAGCTGTTGGTCCAATCAGATGCAGTGATAATTCAGCCTGGGGTCAGGTTGGGGTCAGGTTGGGGACGTGGCTTCTGGGGTCGCCACCTCTCCAGAGGACAAGGAGAGATGAGTCAGTGCCCCCGAAGAGGAGGGGCTCCTTCTTGGGGCCATTTGCACATGGCCAGAAAAGACCAGGATAGCGGACACCTGTCAGCAGTACTGGGCGGAAGGGCAGGGGGCTCCTGGGATGCGAGGGGAGGCCAGACCCCGAGAGAGAGGTGAGGCTGGCACACGCCTGTAAGTTCCACCTCCCCACCCTCTTTCTACCCTGTCACACCTCTCTGCCTTTCTCTGCATGGAGACCGCTGCCCGCTGCCCCTTTCACACCCTGGGACTCAGAGTGAGATGTGGGAGCCTGGGGGTAGAGATGTCAACAGATTCACACACTGGGCATGGCTCAGGACACTGGTACACAGGACAGAAGACAGACGCCAGGCTCTCCTTCAAAAAACCAGGACCTGCCTGGGGCTGCTCCCCATGCCAGATGAATGGCAGGAAAAGGCCCTGGAGGGGACGGGGGCAGGGGTGGGGGACAGTGTCAGGAGCACTTCCAGACACACACAGCCAGGGTCCCCCCGAAGTACAGGTAGAGGAGGTTCTTCACCTCATGTGTGATCTCAAACCCGAAGCCTTCGCCGATCACCACGTGCCAGGAGGAGCCGAACTTCTTGTCCATCGTCTCTTTGATCATCTTGGCGGCACTCTGGAACACAGAGGGCGCTCACTGCAGGGGGCCGTCGCAGGAGAGGGTGGCGTGAGTCCGCTCCCGCCGTGGGAAGCGGGCGTCCTGGCAGGAGGAGGCCTGCTGCCCTGTGACCGTTGCTCTGCACACAGAACCCTCAGGAAGGGTTTCCATGCAGGCCTCCTCCTGGCCTCCTCCTGCCGGGGCCGACTGCACGGGGACAGAGCCCCAGGCGTTATCTCACCAGAAAGACACTGGCTAAGGTGGCAGAGCAGGCATCGGATGTGGAGACAGGGCCCTGGGTCTGAGTTCTGGCTCTGCCGCTTAGTGCCCGTTTCCGGTGTGGGTACCACCGGCTGTTCTCGGCCCTAAGTGAAGTCACATCTCCGAGAGCCCCCGCAGACTATACAGGGTTATCATCATCACTGTCGGGGTATCTTCGGGGAATGAAAAGGCTTTTTCCCTAACAGGTTCGGTGGGCTCCCAGAAGAGAGGCTGGACTGCTTCTCAGTTGTGGCAACGATCCCCATTCCTTCCTGTGCTCGCTCTTTCAAGAAGCTTCTTTCAAGAGATCTAGGCCGGGGTAGAGGCCCAAGTGTTTGTGCTCCCACTGTGGACCGGCAGCACCCACCACTGTGCCGGGTGCCATGGGAGCATTTCGCATCATCTCAGGATGTGCACCCTCACCGCCCGTTACGGACTAGAGATGAAGGTTAAAGAGCAAGGAACGGCTGGAATGGGATTTGAACTTGGGCATCACTGGCCCAAAGCCCAGCCTCTCACTGGCCAGGCTCCACCTCCCCACTGGCTGTCATGACATCGACTTGTTTCTCGCTCACTGCCAGACTGATGAATGACATTCCATGTCGACGCCTGAGGGCCATATCGCCAGCCCCTAGAGCAGTGCCTGGCAGAGATGGTGTTTAACATCTTTTCTGAGTGGATGAATAGAGACATGAATGAAAGCCTGGGTGGGCCTCTGTTCTCTGCTGGGATGGAGCCAAGGGGAGGCTGGCCTATTCAGCAGGCCACCTGAGACGGGGAGCAGGGGAGTCCCAGAGACCCCTCTGGCTTTTCTCCCGCTCAGCTGGGTGTGAACATCAGATCAGTGCCCGCAGACAGGACCAGCCTTTTCTCTCCCCCAGGCTGCGAATGCTTCCGAGGAAGACACTAGCCTGGTCCCAGCGGGACTCTCTGGAGCTGGCTGGGGACTGGGGTACCTGTTCACCTACAGGGGTCGCCAGAGGCCCAGGGGGCCACCTGTACCGATGGCAATACCTCGTTGTTGTTGGAGAATTTCTCACAGGCCGTGACACATAGCTCCATGGTCTCCACTCGCATCTCTTCTGGCATGTCCGAGTGCTAGAGACAGGGCAGGGGTGACAAAGAGAGGGGCTTAGCCTGTGACCTGGCCTCTGGGCTGGCCTCTCTGTCCCGAAGCATGGACACCAGGTAGCTGCCCTGGCGCAGGCCTGGGCAGAGCCCAGAGAGGTGACCCATCTCCTGACTCGGGCATGCAGCTGGGGCGGCGGGGCACGGATCAAGCTGAGCCGCGTGGGCGCTGACGCTCAGGCCCCTCTGCAAAGGCAAGAGGCTTCCTCAGCGCCATGTCACAGCCAACAGACACGGGAAGAAGGCCGGCCCAGGCAGGAGAGGAAGCGGCTATGGAAATGGTTTACAGGCGGCCTCAGAACAGAGCTCGATCTCACTCCAGAATCCTGAAGAGACGGCTCGGCCCCTCTCGATGGCACTTGATTTCCTTCCTGCCTCTCTGGCTGCTTCTTCTCAGTCCACTTTGCTGGGTCCCCTCCCACTCCCAGAGGCTGGAAGGCCCTGGGCTTGCCTCTCCCCTTTCTTCTCTGGCTATCTGCTCTCTTGGGGATCCCAGCCCGTTCCGTAGGCTTATTCATGTTATATATGGGGAGGGGGCCCCACAATTTCATCCCCAGCTCTAACCTCTTTTTTGGAGCTCCGGACTCCTACATTCAACTGCCTACTTGACAGCCTCACTCAGATGTCTAAGAGATAACTCCTGATTTTCCCCACAAACCTACTCTCCCTCCATCTTCCCCTCTCTTGGGAATTGACACCGTTTTCTCTCCCCTGTTCGGAAAACAGCAAACCCTAGGAGTCAGCCCTGACTGTCATACCCAGCGCCCAGTGTGTCGATGAGTTGTCGCCTCTGCCTTCATGATTAGGCCCTGATCTGACCGCGTCTCGGCGTCTCCCCTCTGTGACCTGGACCCAACCACCCTCGTCTCTCTGGGCCTCTGCAGTAGCATCCTCACTGGTCTCCCCGCTTCTGCTCTGGTGCCCTACAGTCCACTCTCCTCACAGCTAGAGTGATATTTTAAAAACAGATTACATTACTTCTCTGCTTAAAACCCTCCACTGGACCCCTCTGAACTCAGGATAGAACCTGCATTTCTTACTATGTTTCTCGCCGCGGCCCGCCAGGCCTGTGAGGTCTGGCCCCGCGGTCACTGACCCTCACGTCCTGCCACCCCCTCAGCAACCCATTCCTGCCATACTGTCTTCTTTCTGTTCCTCCAAAGTGCCGAGCTCATTCTCACCCTGGACTTTCTGTGTTTGCTGTTTCCCCTGTCTAGAATATTCTTCCCAGACCTTCGCGAGGCTTGCTCCCTAACTTCATTCAGGTCTCTGATCAGAGAAACCTTTCCAGAAGCTCTATGTTTCTTTATAGACTCATTACCTGAAACTATGTTGTTCAAACCCTTCTTTCACGTGGGCCAGGCCTCTGTCTCGTTCACTACTATATCCATAGTACCTAGAACAGCGCCCAGTGGCTAAATAGATACTTGTTGAATGAACGCATGAATGAATGAGGGAATCACTGTTGACGCCTAGATCTCTAGATCTGAGCCAGCGAAGTCCTTCTGAACTTCCTCCCATGTTCGCTCTGCAGAGGACAAGCTGCTCCGCCTCTCGCCGAGGCTGTGCGGGCTCTGCGGTTGCCCTGCCTCCTCCCCGGGGCTTACCCTGACCAGAGGGAAGGTCTGCAGTCGTTTATAATCAGCCTCATCTTTCTTCCCTTCTGCTTCTCCCATGATCCTTCTGCTGGAGGAGCGAGTGGGACTTTCAAGTGGTGCTGGGACCGGCGACTAAGATACACCCCGGAGATTCAGGAAGCGGGCCCTGCCAGCTTGCGGGGAGCAGCAAATGTCTTTCCGCAAGGGGTGCTGTTGAAAACAGGAAAAACCAGGAAAAAAGAGTTGGCTTTAAAACCACACATCACAAATTAGAAATGTCTCAGTAACAATTTGACACCTCCCCGTTTTAACTCCTCCGCATCCTTTTCCAAATGGCCAGCAAGTCTGCAGACGGGAGGATGAGTCAACATGAGATGCTGGGACCTGGTTAAGAACACACTGTCATTATCAAGACAAACACTGACGGCGGGCCAGGCCGAGGATGGAGCCATGAGCTAGCAACGAACAAACAAGCCTCCCTGCAGGCCCACTACATACGCGGTCCCTATTTCTCAGCAGACGTGATCACACAGTTAAATGTCAGGTCACGATCCACAACCCTGGGTTTATGGCGCAAGCGTCTGCTTCCGCAGGCCCCTGATCTTCAGGAGGCATGGGAGGAGCGAGGCACTGTGTCCTCCTTGACACAGCAGGCTCCCCGCTTTTCCACCCCACACCCCCTCGGGCCGTCCTGTCCCATCTGGCTGGTCCAGCAGTTGGAGGCCTAGGCGTTAGAGCTGGTTCTACTGCTCGCCACAGCGTCGGGCCTCAGACTCCTCATTGGCAATGCAAGGGTAGTCACATTTATCCCACAGGGATGTTATGAAAATCAAATGGGACAATACATGTAAGCAAAGGTCACAGTGCCAGGCACGTGGATGGCACTCAAAACGCTGTCTGTCCCTCCCTCTGGCTCCTGGGGGAATCAAATGACTGAATGCATGTGGATGTGACTGGAAAGTTATAATGCCTAATACACATGCAGAGATTTCTTTTTCTTTCCACATCTAGTCATCTAGAAATCTAATAACAGATGGGGCTTTTCCTAAAGAGATAAGCCTGGATCCTAAGTGACTGGGAGTGTGGCTGGAAATTCTGGCATTTCTCTTTATCCTATAATTCAATTTATCCTATAATTCAAAAGACTTTTTATCTTAGAAGTACTAATATAAATGAATATGAACCACCATGTTGTTAAATTCTTTTTAACAATCCATATTGGACAAATGCAAATAATGTTATTCTAGCATTTCTCACATATCCAAATAAAGTTTTCATGGCATAGCCACCAAACTCCGAAGATGCCTAGCATAGGAACTCACAGGTAGGAGATGACAGGTGATATTTAGTAGGTTCCCTGTGTGCGAGCCACTGCTGTTTTAGGTGCTTCACGTGCATTTACTCAGCTCACTGCTGCAAAAACCCCGAGTTAGGTCCTGTACCAACAGAGGCACGAAGCTGTAGCGTGGCTGGCCTGCAGTCACTCAGCTAGTGAGCGCCAGGGCTGGGGTTTGATCTGGGCACAGTCTCTGGTGGGCCCTCTTAACCTCTCCTCGTGAGGCCTCCTCACAGCACTGACACACAGTAGGCACACACAGAAGTGACCGCGGGTGCGTGACTAGTGTGGCTCATGTTATTCCAGCAGTGAGATAAATGTTTAACCTTCCTTCTCGGTGTCTATTGCTCTAATGCCAACTTGGCCCTTGTTTGGCCAAGCATTGAGCGTGCTGTGTGCCTTTTCCCGCCTTCATTTGATCCCCACTCTCCGATGCCTCAGAGGCCCTCAACGCCACCCATTTGGTCCGCTCCCTCGAGCGAGGCTGGAAGCCTGGCACCGACTCCGCCATCCCACGACACTGGTATTTTCTGATTTCTCGGTGGACAGATGGCTCCTCTTATCGCATCAGTTCTGGGCATCTGTACCATTCGAGATATTAGTTTTTGTTTATCGCTACATGTAAGGTGGCAAATTGCCAAGCACAATCTCATTGTACTTTCTGCTCATGTTTCTCACTTGGCAAAATCCGGTGAATCGCTTTGTCTTAGCTCATTACCGTGTGGCTCCTCTCCAATTCCATCCTGTCCTCCTTGCTTTAGTACGGGCCACTTATCGACTCCTCCTCCACATGACCAAGGTGTGACAGGTGGTGGCTCCGCTGATGATCAAAGGATAAGGGCTTTAAGGTTCACCTCCAGACAACAATGTGAAATGCTGAAGCAGCTGCTTAGGCATCTTCCACCTAAATACTTCAGTTTGATTCAATTTGCCCTCGGGCTAACAAGTGCCAGCATGGAGCGGGCAGGAAGGGGATTCAGAGGCAATCGTGCACGCGCCCGCCCTGGGGAAGGTCAGGGTCTCTGGTGGCTGCTTGGACTCCGCTTCAGCATATGCAATCCTGATGAAACAAGACTTCAGTGGCATTACCAAAGCCTGCTCTTCAAGAACGAAGGGGGCAAAACCACTGGGCCAGTTTTGGGGAGAAGGGGCAACACTGGGTGGAGTAGAGAAGGTGCGGGACCAGGACGGGGAGTATTTGGGCTTGAATACCAGTTCCGTAACTGAAATGACTTCTTCCCTCTTCCTTGTTTTGGGCAAGTCTAGTTCCTCCTCTAGGAAACAGAATAATCCCCTCAGCCTCGGAAAGCTGGTGCAAGGACCCGGATATGCACGTGAGCATTCTGAAAATTTAAAGCTCTCTTCACTAGAATCGTCAGACTGCTTCTTCCCACAGCTGTGTTATCAGCCAGGTCTCTGTCGACATGATTCAACCACGTTTATGAAGGACCATGATAGCAAATAGCTTTTCCTAACCACGACAGGTATTTTTGGGGTCTCGAAAGGCATGAGACTTCCAGAATAAAAAAAGGAACAGTTATAGACGGTGCTTCCAAATACAGAAATGGAGGAGAATTTTTTATGACGCTGTATCACTAGAGTCCAGCTAGTCATTCAGCCCGATTAAAAACCCTGCTGCAGGAACGCTCCTGAAAATAGCAGGACGAGAGGTTTTAATAACCTTATCCATCTTCCATGCAAATGAGGGTGCACCTGACAGCTCCGGGCCAGAAAGAAGTCACGTCAGGACTAACAGAGAGTCCTTTGATACCGTAAGTGAGCCCATGGCCAGGGCACTTGAATCCCCTGGGAACCACAGCTTGACCCTCCCAGGGCCCGCCCTGGTGCACAAGGCCAGAGGCAGCCTTGCTCTCTCTCCTGCTCATGACTCTCCTCCTCACCCAGGGGCCCTCTGCGAGCCGACACAGCCTTGCCCTGCTCTCTCTCCTGCTCATGACTCTCCTCCTCACCCGGGGCCCTCTGCGAGCCGACACAGCCTTGCCCGTCTGCTCCTCGTAACAGGAGACGCAGACAGGGCTCTTTGTATCATCGCCTCGTTAGTCAGCGTCTCCTGTCTCCCTGTCCCTTGTTCTTTTGAGGCACTGCCCTCGGTCACCATTTATTATACGGCTTCTGAGCATTTGGGAAGAATCCTTAAGAGGGTTAGGAAATGTGGGAGGGATGGTGAAAAGTGAGTGGATTCTGGGAAATAAGGCCCTAAGGGTTGCCAATCCCCCAGCCACTCAAGGCCTGGTACACTCTTGGCCCACAGACCACGGCTCCCAACCCTTCACCACCACCAGGCAGCGGAGGGACAGGGCACACACTCGGAGCAGGGCAGGCAGTTGACGAATGAACTTATACTTAGGTCTCTCGGACAAGTGTTTACCTCTGCAAGCCTCAGTTTTCTGATTGGGAACCTGGGAGTAAGAACAGACCCTCACAGTAAATGTAGGCTCTGCTACCGGTGCAGTAAGATGGGGACTCCGACATCCTTCGTACACCAGCCACCTAAACAGCTGAACACTCAGCCAAACAGACTGATACATACACAGTTCCCGCCCTGTGCAAACCACCGAGCTCTGACTGGAGGAGGAGAGAGTCACAGGAAAGTCTGTAAAACAGTTTGGCCCGGGGCTGGGCGCACTGTGTGGTCGCACTATGCTTTCACATTCACCACCTTTGGCGCAGGCCCAAGGGTTCACAGCCAGCAATGACAGAGCCAGGATCTATTCTTCTGATTCTGCCTTTTGTGTGTTCTCTCCTGTCACAAGCAAGTAGGAGATGAGACAGAAACACAAATCACTTCGATCTCAGCAGCCGCCAGTCCAGTCGCCTGTCCAGGCACGCCCCCTACGTCCAGCCATGTCAGGGACACACACTTGGGCTCTCGGTCACCCTCCAGCCTTTCCCCGACATTTCCACCCTCTGCCTTCTGGCGAACAAAGAGCGATGCTGGCTGGTAAGGGAGGAGCAAGGAACCTCGGGGCTTGGGGGCATTCACCCAAGATGTCGGTGGTGAGGTCAGGAAATAACAGCTGGAAGATATGGATTTCACAGATCAGTTCAAAATGGGGGAAGCAAACAGGGTTAACACTGAAAAACTTTGCTAAGAGCATTAAAAAAATCATCTACTATAAAAGAAAGTTTTAATAGTAAGAAGGAAATGACTGCAGAATAAAAGACAGTCCTTCTCAAGAAGAGACAGTTACCTTAGATGCACAAAGGGTTTTGTTTTTTTTAAATCACTCCTATTTTTTCTCATTTTACTGAGGTTCAGTGAAAACTTCTGATGTGTCTTAGACTGTGTGGAAGGAAGAAAAGAAAGGAGCAAGGGAGCAAAAGAGACAGAGATAGAGAGAGACCAAGACATTTTCTTGATGTATTAGCTCTACACGAGAACAGCTGCCTACCACAGAGAGTGGGTTACGCAGTCCCCCACCCCCTCTTTCCCACTCAAGAGAACAGATTTGAACATGAGGCTAAGAATGACATTAGCACAGAAAGAAACTGGAATTAGCATTGACTTATTTTTTAAAGTATTCACAGTTGCTCATTACTGTTGACATCTCACAACCAGTCATGACTTAGCAGGGTGTCACGGGTCCGGACAATCACCTGGGCCCGAGGACTTTATTCTGCTGTAGATGCTGCAGTGCATGAAGTCCAGTGTCTGGCACGTGGCGAAAGACCAACAAATATCTAAACTGTAATTAAATTATACTTCATTTGCCCCCTGGGAAAGGAGAGGACATATCGAATCCATTCAATATTTATTGAGTACTGACCTGAGCAAGGCAATGGGATGAGTGTTCTACATATGGGATCTCATTCACTACCACTGATCACGCCGTCAGACAGGCACTACTATCTCCACTTTTCTGATGATCACACAGGCTGAGAAAAGGAAAGTGACTTTCCACCTGATTAATAAATGGAGAAGCTAGGATTCGATCAGGAATGTCCGACTCCAAGCTTGTGGTTTTCCAACGACTCCACTATCACCAAGAGGCAGCCCTTGCTTTCAAGGGGCTTACAATCTAATATGACAGACCAACGCATACACAAGGAACTATGGTTCATGACAGAAAGCAGTAAATGTCACAAGACAGATGCAGAGAAGGAGGAAAGAGGAGAATTCTAGAGGGGGCGGGGAAGAGGACAATAAGAAAAGCTTGGTGACAGGGATGGCATTACAGTCAGGCCTTAAAAGGTGAGTAAGAATCTCGACAGATGGACAAGGTGAGGAGGACATTCTGAGCAGAGATGAACACACACGGTGATATCAACGCAGAGAGCTCAAAGCGTTTCCTGTTAAAGTCCGACAGTCCAATATGGCTGGGGGACAGAAGCTGGCAAAGAAGGGAGAAAGGCAGCTGGGAAAAAAATGGCGGAGTTGGGTGTGAAAAGGCCCTAATACCCAGGCTTAGGAAGTGTGGATATTTTTAGGGGTGAATGAGAAGCTCTTTGGAGGGCTCTATGGGGTTGGTGACATGGTTGTGTTTTGGGGCAGTTATTCTGGTTAATATAATTGGTTTAACAGGAGGACGGATGGGAGGTAGGGATACCAGTTAGGAAGCTACAGCAATGACCCAGGTGACAGGCATTAAAACATGAACCAGGTGTTGGTTTCAGGAATGGAGAGGATGTGAGATCCTTGCAGAGGCAGAATCAAAGCAATGTAACCATTTCCTGAGCGGGATGGGCATGGCAGAGAGACGGATGATACCCCAGGAGGATGGTGATGCCACTGAGACAGAGAGAGGGAAAGTCAGGTAGAATAATAGATAGGTAGAGAGCAAACGGAAGTGTCTTATCAGGAGTAGGTAATCACTGAATCATGGATCATCGGGGTAGAAGGGAGCCATTGAGTCCAACCATCACATCAATATATCACTCTCTACCCCCATCCACACCCCGACGCATCCCTAACCATGGAGACCCAGAAGAAACATTAGAGCTGGAGATCTGGGCTTGAGGGTCAAGTGGAGAAATGACAGCTTACACTAAGGAAGTTGGTGACACTTCTGAGGGGAAAAATGTGGGGAAGAGACGAAGGAAGGAAAGTAACAACTGCTGAATCTACACGGGACTGGCCTCTTTAAACTTCATATTATCAGAATTCTCCATGGAGATACTCTGTAGTATCCCGATTTTATATGTGCACAGCCTGGAGCCCCGGGAGACTAGGTAACTTGATAGCGTCCTGCGACGGGGAATCAAAAGCAGGTCTGTCACGTCCTTTTCGCTGCACCGATTCCTCCAGTGGGAAGCACGGCCTCAGGGAGGCCTACAGTTGGGTCAATCACATCCTAGAACATCAGAGTCAAAGAGGCCTTAGAGATCATTCAATCCGACTTCTCCTTTACAGACGGGGAAACTGAGGCTCAAAGAGGGTAATGACCAGCTTGGGGCTCCAGCACGTCGCCTACTGTCCAAGTCAAGTGGTCTGGGACCAAGCTCTGGCCACCAACGGGAGAGGGGGATTACTCCGCGAATGGTGGGAGAACCTAGGTGCTGGGGTGGGAGAAGCCGGGTCAGGGGGACCGCAAAGCTGGACCGGGCCTCGGCTGCGGAGGGGAAGAGAAGCGGTCTGCAGAGTCGCGACGAAGGATCTGTCATCACCAAGCTCATAAATCCCCAAAGTGGAGGGATGGGGGTTGGGAGGACCTGGGGTTGGGGACCCGAAGGGAGGAGACTGAGGTGGGGCCTCCGCGGTGGGCGAGGCCCTGCCCGCCTCGCGACGCTTCCCGGCCTCCCTTTGGGCCGGCGCTCCCCACCCGGCTGCCCGCCGCGCCCCGGGGCCTCACCTGCTCCCGCGGGGGCTGGAGCGGGGCCGCAGCAAGCTCACCCCCGTCTGGGTTGTCAAGGAGCAAAACAAGAGTGTCTTAGCAACAGCAAGGAAGTCCTGCCCCCTCGCCGGACGTTGACAAAAACTTCACTTCTTATTGGTGAATACAAGTGTCCTTCAATGTTGGAGGGCCCTACATCGTAGAGGTTTGTACAAAAGAGGCGTGGTTTAGAGGCGAAGGAGGCGGGGCTTCACTTATAGCCGTCTTAAGTGGGCCTGAGGAGCCGTGTACAAACAGTTCTCATTTTAGAGAGACAAACTGTGAAAAGCGGTATTACCTTGGGAGTTTATTTTAGTCATTTGAAATAACTAATGTAATTCGTTGATGTCATGACACTAAGATGCTACTTATTAGGCCCTCAAAAGCCTAGCAATAACTAGCATTTATGTAGGGCTTTACAATGATATTTCGCCTGAGTCTCACAATTCTTTTAGGTGATAATATTCCTAACCCCACCTGAATTGAGGTTCAGAGAGGCTAAGTAACTTTAAGAATCAAGGTCAAGCTTCTTGAGAATCAACCCAAGTGCTCTTGCCACTGGAGCACACCCTCATATAGTTGCCATAGGAGACGTTGTTTTAATTTACAGACACCTTTTCTTCCCCCTTAGGGGGGGAAATTAATCTGAAAATATTAATACAACTAGGGAAAGGAGAAGAACCTGCAAATTCAATTATTTGTTGGTGGATCAAATGGTCAGTGGGGGTATTCCATAATTTAAACATTTACTTTCTCATGATAAGTACCTGTGTGACATCCCACATCACATTCACTGGCACTTACTGGGAACTCAGCCCTGGCCAGGTATTGGTGATTCAGAGAGAATTAAGAGGAGGACTTTGGTCCCAGAGGAGGCACAGTCTAGTGGGGGAGAGGGGGCAGCTGTGTCGACAGAGAGGTAAAGAATAATTCATGCTACCTGTGCTCTGGTAGAGATGTGGACAAGGAGCATGGAGAACACAGTTCACTGAGGAAGTGATGGTGGCTCCACGACTCCTGGATGGAGAGAGAAGGTGGTATAAGTGGGAAGTGATCATGGGGATGAAATATAGAAGGAAGTAGGGACCACAAAAGTCAAAAGGGTTTTAAACACCAGGTTCAGGGATTTGGGTGTCCCCTGGGGTGAGTTAAGAGTTGGGGAAGTAACTGCTGGAGGGTTTCAAGTCTGGCAGTAACATAGTCAGATTTGGGATAAAAAAAAGATGACTTGGCTGGTGAAGATGGTGGACTAGACTTGGAGTGGGTAGACAAAAGGCAGACACAGTGGGCTTAGTTTTGAGACTTGGCAGCTTGAGGTGTGCTAGGCCCTTGCTGATTCCCATCTAGCCTCCCTGGTGCCTTCTGAGGGTCTGGAGAATGTCTGACTCAGCTTCCATATTTCCCCAAATCTCTTTGCCAACTTTCTCCAGGAGATGGAAGGTGGTTTTTGAGGGGGATGAAGCTCTTGCTTCCGCCTCTCATCGAAATTTCTCTAAAAGGGGTCCATATTTGCTATCTTCTCTTTCTCACCTCCCATTCACTCTTCAGCCCACTGCAATCTGGCTTCCACTCCCACGACACCACCAAAATTTCCTCTTCCATAGTTACCAGTGACCTCCTGAAGAGCGGAATTCAATAGACTTATTTAGTCTTTATCTTCCTGAACTCATCCTCTCCGCTGGCATCGCTCTGCAGGCATAAGCCTGTCATCCACACCTATCTTCGTGAAATTCTCTACCCCAGAGACAGTGACTGCAGAACTCTTTACGATGCAGATTTCAGGGTCCCATGGCATCAGAATGGTGAGGGGCAGGAACCTGTATTTTTTTCACAAGCACCCTGTGCGCACTCACGTTTGAGAATCGCTGCTCTGTCCTGACACTGGGAGCACCTCACTCTCCTGGATCTCCTCGAACTTCTCTTCCTTTTGGCTTTTTGGGCTCTTCTTTTGCTCTCTGTGCCTGCCTTGGCCCTTTTTTCTTCTCACCAATGGTCTCAAATTTCTTCCTACCCGAGGTCACCTTCTCATCAGCAAGAGTTCCCCTTGCTTACACTTCTTGGGTATTTACTGGAATTGAGGGTTGGGTATGTACTTTGGAAAAATTCCTCTGGTGATTCCAAAAACTCTCCCAGGGAGTTATGCCACCCCGTGCATATCTTGTTGAGAATTGTTGCCATAGGTATTTGGGGATCTCATCCACTCCCATGGTTCCATTATCAATCTTCTAGAGTCTGATAGCTCCTGTATTTCTCTCATGAGCTCCAGACCTAAATATCCAACTGCTCTCTGGCCATCTCCTTTAGAATGTCCCACAAGCCTTGAAAACTCAATGTGTCCCAAACTAAATTAATCATCTCCCTCTAGCCCGCTCTCCCTGCATTCCCCATCTCAATAAATAGCAGCACCACCCCCACTTGCCTCCATCGGAAACCAGGGACTCTCATCCTTCACTTTCCCACCATCACCCACCTCCAGTCAAACACCAGCCTGCTGATTCTGACTCCTATGTCCTGATTATAGCCCCTTCTGACTGTGCTCGTGGCACTCCCCATGTGAATAGCACCATGATCCCATCTGTTTTGTTGCAACTACTTTCTACTGGGACTCCCTGACTGTAGTCTTGCCCATCCTTCATACCACAGTCAATGTGATCCTTCTAAAACCCAAATTTCACTACTACATTCCTCTCTTTAATAACTCCTTTCCTCCCTTCATGGTTCCCCATTATCTATCAGATGACATTCGATGCTGTCATCTGGTATTCAAGGCCCCCTTGGTGTGGCCCATGGGTGGCTTTGTCTCTTTGCTACTTCTTCCTCTGTGCTTTGTGCCAATTCTCATGGCTCTTCACATACTCCATGCTGCTTCTCACTTCCTTATCTTTGCTCATGCATCCTCTGTCCACATCCTCCCTCTGCCCTTCCCTCCTTTTGGCTGTATAAGCCCATGCACTTTTGGTCAAAGCTTGTCCCAATTGGGATTCCTTGCGACCAGAAGAGTCCTTTGTGCTCCCTCTCATCTGGGGCATGTTCTTGCCACCGCCCTCTCCACTGTTTTGTACTTAAGTTTAATTCTCTGCCTTCCCCTGTGAGCTCCTTGAGAGCAAGGACCTTGTCCTATTCATCTCTCCATCCCAAGATTCCACACAGGATCTAGCAGAGAATAGGTGCTTAGTAAATGTTTCATGAACAAACGTATGAGTGAATGAATGAGGTGGATAGGGTCCTAACCTACTTCAGTCTCAGCTCTTGTCAATCCCCAAGATTTGGTCTCCCGTAACTTAAAACAATATAAACTTATTATTATCTTACAGTTCTAGAGACAGAAGTGGTAAATGAGTCCCACTGTGCTGAAATCAAGGTGTTCCCAGGACCACGTTGTTTCCTGAGGCTCTTGTAGGAGAGACTGTTGTCTTCCTTTTCCAGCATCGCTCTGACACTGACTCTTCAATCTTCCTCTTCCACATCTAAGGACCCTTGCGGTTACCTTGGGTCTATGCAGATAATCCAAGTTACTCTTATCTCACAGTCATCCGATTAGCAACATTAGTTCTCTTTGCCATGTGACAATAAATTCACAGGTTCTGCAGGATCAGGATCTAGACATCTTTGGGGGGCCATTATTCTGCCTACCGTAGTCAGCATGGGTGAGTTTTTCACATGTGGTTGAAAAGAATATTTATTCTGTAGTTGCTGTCTTAGGTTAAGTTTGTAAATCGTTTTGTTCACATTTTCTATATTCACACTGAAATTTTAGTCTGTGATTTTTAGAAGTTATTGAGAAAGATGTGTTACAATACTCCACTACAATTGTGGATTTATCAATTTTTCCTTTTGGTTCTGTCAGTTTTTACTTTATATATTATGAAGTTGTATTAATACAGGCACACAAAGTTATAACTGTTATATCTTCTTAAGAGATTAACTATCATCATGAAATGTCCTTTTTATCTCTGACAGTGCTTCTTGTCTTAAAGTCTACTTTGGACTAAGTGTAGCTACACCAGCTTTCTGCAAATTAGTGCTTGCATAGCATATAGTTTTCCATCCTTTAAATTTTACCTTTCTATATAATTATTTTTAAATCCAGTTGACAATATTAATATTTTAATTGGAATATTTATCTTTTTATATTCAATGTAATTAAATTTAGGTTTAAATCAATCAACTTACTATTTTCTGTTTATCCTACCCTTTCTGTGCTCCCTCTTCTTTCTTATTTTTTTGGCCTTTTTTTGAATTAGTTTTATTATTCCATTATTTTCTCCTATAGTAGCTTGTTGGTTACATAGTCTTTTACAATCCTTTCAGTGATTACCTTAGGAAAATATAATATTGATCCTAGACTTATTAAAGTTGAATGTAAAATTAATGCTTTTACTACTACCAGGACCATGCCAGGACATTAGAAAATTTTAACTGCATTTAACCTCTTCCAACTTTTTATTCCGTTGTTGTCATGAATTTTAAACTTCACAAGACAGAATTGTTATTATTTTTTTTTCAATCAATATTAAGTTACGTGTATCCCCATATTAACCCTTTCTGTTGTTCTTCGTTTGGAATTTCCATGGTTCCTTTCAGGACCATTTTCCCTCTCCCTAAAGAATTCCCTTCAGTCTGTTCTTTAGAGAAGCTATGTTGGTGACGAAAACCATTGGTGATGGGTATTGTTTTTTTCTTTGTCAAAATGATCCTTATTTCATCTTCATCTCTGAGGAGTTTTCAATGAATATAGAATTCTCCAGTGTTAGTCATTTCCTTTTAGCACTTTGAAGATGTTATTTTATTACCTTCCTTCTTCCATTCCTTCTACTGAGAAGTTAACTTGTCATTGCTTCCTGGAAAGTAATACATCTTTTTTTCTTTGGGACTTTGAGATTTTTTTCTTTGTCTTTAATTTACAGCTGTTTCACTATCAAAGGCCTAGTAGTGTGTGTGTGTGTGTGTGTGCGTGTGTGTGTTTTCATTTCTCATATTCGAAGTTACCTGAGATTTTTGAATATGTGACTTAATGTCTTTCAATGGTTTTTGGAAAATTCTCAGACATTTTCTTTCTTTTTTTTCAGACATTGTTTCTGCCCTATTTGTTCTCTCTACTTCTTCTGGGGATCCTTACATGTTAGACCTTTTCATTATGTCCCATATTAATCTTATGGTTTTTTTCCCTGCACTTTCTGTTCTTTTCCCTCATTCTTTATTCTGGATCATTTCTTCTGGTCTGTCTAACAGAGTTCATAAATTCCTTCTTCAGCTGTGTCTAATCTTCTGTTAAACCTATTTATGGAAACCACAAGTTTGGTTAATGTATTTTTCAGTTCTAGAATTTTCATTTGATGGTTTTCATAGTCTACAGTTCTCTGTTGAAATTCTGTTTGTTATCTAAATTCTTGAATATATTAACCATAATTATTTTCAAGTCTGTGTCTTGTAACTCCACTATATGGATCTCCAATGGAGATCTTTTTAAAATTAGATTTTTAATTTTGAGATAATTATGGATTCATGTTCAGTTGTAAGAAATAACACAGAGCAATCTTATGTACCCTTTATCCAGTTATCCCCAATGGTAACATCTTGCAAAACTATAGTACAACATTAATATAATAAGATGATTGTGGTGCCGGGGTAACATCTTGCAAAACTATAGTACAATGTCACAATCAGGGTATTGACGTTAATACAATAAGATGATTGTGGTGCCCACTAAAGTTTGAGAACCACTGAGGGAGAGGGAAAGCCAGGAGAAGGTGTGTTTTGGAAGACAAGAGAAGAGAATCTTTCAAGGAGGGAGGAGTGGTTAACTATGTGTCGAATGCAGCTGGGAGCTCACCCCACATGAGGACAGAGGCCTGGCCATGAGGTTTTATGAGTTTTGTAACATAAAGGTCATTGTCAGCCTTGACAAGAGTGATCTCAGTGGAGTGGTGGGGACAGCAGCCGTGTGGGAACTGGCCAAGGAGTGAACGAGAGGGAGGAAGTAGCAACGAAGTCTATAGGCCCAGTGAGCAGTAAAGGGTTAACTCCATGTGCTTGGGGTACTCAAACCCTGCACGTTCTGAAGAAAGGACTGAGACTTGACCAGTGCCTGGTAAATAAGCTCTGAGCCCCTGGAATATCCTTCCTGATGAGAGTGTCTTTGTATACCTTGGGCCACGTCAGAGAGTTTATGCTAACACAGTGATATATAGAAAACGCCTGTTTTTATTTGCCTAGGGCCCTGGGTCATGCTGTATCAGTTCTGCCTCTGATGGGAACTGAGAAATTAAGGTCACTCATGCAGGTGTAAAATGCCCGTGTGACTGAACTCCAGTACAAACCCTGGAGACCAAGGCTCAGGCGAGCTTCCCTGGCTGACAGTGTTCTGTATATGTCACACATCCTTGCTGGGAGAGTGAAGCACTGTTCCTAGGACCGCACGGGGGAGAAACAGCTGGAAGCTCGCTCCTGGTATCTCCTGGAGTATCTCCTGGACTCTGCACTACCTGCTTTTCCTTTGCTTCTTTCAATCTGTATCTTTTCAATGTAACAAACTGTAACTAGGAGTATAACAGCTCTGAGTCCTTCTAGTGAATCATCAGTCTCTGAGAGTGGTCCTGGGGATTCCCACAAACCTTTCTCAAGAAGTCTTGCAGTGAAAGGAGCAAAGGAGTGGACGATAGCTGGAGGAGGATGTTGGCTCAGGGTGGGAGATTTTGACTGAGGAAATACAAAGGCAAATTTGCGTGCCTGGTGGAATGATAAAGGGGTCAAGAAGATGCTAGTGATTCAGGAGAGACGATCTTGAGAAGATGAGGGGTGTGGTGGGGCCTCTGACAGAAGCAGGGACAGTTCACTCCAAGTGTCAGGAGGGAGACCAGAGAACGTGGAGACAGTGCAGGTTTACGGACAGACTGGGTGATGAGGTCGTAACCACTTTGTTTCCTCAGCGGACTATGAAGTATGGTCACCCTGGAAGGCGGAGATGGGGTAGAAGGCTGTAAGAGGTTTGAGGAGAGAGAGGGTCTGATTTTTAGCTATTTTGGAGAGTAAGCCCTCACGTACGGAAAGTGGGCTCAGATCACAAGGCAGAGAGAAAAGCGTCCCCTGGAGATCTCTGGCCATGAATTCAAAATGAGAGTCCACACACGTCACATGTGCTTTTCTGCATCGGCGTTCAGCTGGGCAGGTGCTGGCAGGAAGCAGGTGGATGGACAGTGGGATTTAACCAGGGTGGGTAGTGCCAGCTGAGGGGGACGGAGAGAGGGTGTTTGTAGTAAATCAGTGCCAGAGAGGGTAAACAAGGTGAAGCTGCCTGCAGCTTAATTTTGCTCAGTGGTAAGTAATGAAACAATATTTTAAAACAAATCTGGATTCCACCTGGAGTAAAATGGAGAAAGCACATGGGTTTTTCAGGCGACTCGGTAGACTTCAAATATGGTTTTCTTGTGTTAAGCGCTACTTCCACCGAGAGCCCTTGGTCCTCGTGGGGTGAATTCACTCTTGCTGGAAGGTGGAAAGTTTTGGACACATCTGAGAAGGCTTGTCCTGCTGGTGTGACCCCTCGATCCGACTGGACCCCTGGCATTTCACAGGGACCATCTGACGACAAGGTCCAACTAAGAGCAGTGACACTATTGATGGAACAGACAGGCGGAGGTCGTGTGGACAGGGAGGGCTGGGGATTAAATCAAGGCCTCCTAGGGATAGGTGGGCACTGGACGAGTGGGTGGGGGACTGTCAAGAGTCCGGTCTAGAGGCCAAGCGAGTCAGAGGTGTCCAGGTAGACCATGGGGAGGGGACAGGTTGAAATATACCAGGCCCCTTTCTCTCCCCTCCCCCATCTCCCCAGGACTCCAAGGGAGGCACCGTTCCGGGGGTTCAGGCGAGTGACTTAGGAAGATTGGATCTCATGGAACAAGTCAGGGACCTGGTTCCCAGAACTGGGGCACGAGGTGGGGATGAGGTGTTAGGAATGAGGCCAAAGCTCAGTTATCAGAACTGGGACACTTTCCACGTGGGACTTATGTTCTTTACATCCTTCCTGCAAAGATCCTGGGAAATGGGGTGTGTCTGCATCCGGGGCCTGGCAGAGCCTGTCAGGTTGGAGGGATAGGTAGGGTTCGCTGAAGCTTTGGGGCACCAGGGCGGCACCTCCTCTGTCTTTGCCTACTGCCCTGCACCACGCAGCCTCCTCCTCCCTGCCTGGCACCTCCCGGGGTACCCCAAGTCTTGCAAGGAGATCCTCAGAGTAAACATCATGTTTATTTTGGACATTCAAGTTTACAAAAACAAAAAGTAACAAAATCCATCAGAGAACACACACACTCACACACACACACACATACACACATACACACACACACACACACACACACTGCATCTCATGTCACTTTATGTACAAAATCAGGCCAGGAGGAGGGAAGGCAGAGTTGCCAGTAGGGTGTACCCACTTCACAGTGTCCAACTGCCCGACATGCTCACTCACTGCTCAGCCTGGGCCCACGTGAGCCCCATCTCCACCCAGCAGGATCAGAGGTCAGGGGTCATGGAGGAGGTGGGGTTTGGGCCTGCAGGCGACCGGGACAAAGAGGGTGAAGAAATGATCCCATCTCCTGGTTCGGGCCACTGGTTCAGGGAAACAGAAAAGGGACCCAGTTCTGGAGAGGGCGGGGCCACTGCATCGTGGAGAGAGCACTGGACACAGAGTCAGAAAGCTGGGTGCGGGTCTCCTGGTGACCTGGCTAGGTGGTTCCGTGGGCCCTGGCATCTTCTCTGTATAATGAGGGCTCTGACCCCCGCTACGAGCCCTTCTGTATAAATCTGTGGTCCGGGGTCATGCACCATTGTGGCAAGGTGATCTGTCCCGTTGGGAGGTTGACTGGGGGCAAAACATGTCACAAAGGTGGGGAATCGGCAGAGAAGAGCTGTGAAGCACCCGCACAGGGCTTGGCCCAAAGCAGGAGTCTGAGAAATATGTCCTTCCCTCCCCTGCCTGGGGCTCTTGGGACACAGTCCACCTTCTGTTTCAGCCCTTCTGGAAACTCCAGCCAGTAGAGACGGGCTGAAGCAGTGGGTGCACTGCAGAGGGAAGCTTTCCCTGACGAGACTGAGACCCCTCCCACAGCCTTGCCCAAGGGGACCCTTCGCCTGCGGATGGCCCATCTCATGCCTCCTGTTCTGTGGGTGGTGAATGGGGTCAGACACATTCCTTCAGGCCCAAACGTTAGGACCGAAGATGCCCAAATCCCACTCCACAACGTGGGGGTGACTGTCCCCTTGGGCTGAGGGGTGGGCCCTCAATGTAATCTTCCTCGGTTTGAACTCTGGGCTCCATCACTTGATGGCTGATTGACACAGGGCAGGTTACTTAACCTCTCTGTGCCCTAGTTTCTTTATGTATATGTACGATGGGGCTAAGAATAGTCCTAGCTTCTAACTGTGTTGCAAGGATAAACAAGATGACGTCATGAGGTGCTCAGCACAGTGCCTGACACTTAAAAAGGTTGTAACGAACACAGGCTCCAGCGTCACTATCAGACAAGAGCAGCTCGGGGACACAATCGAGCACCGTTTCTAGATCCTCCTCCATGTCTTCTCGGCTGTGCCTGGGAGCAGCTGATGATCAAAGCTGGAGTCCGAACGGCAGGCACTCGGCAAATGTATGAAGGAGAGGTGGGGACTTTGGGGCTTTTCCTGGACTGGAAATGGGGATCCAGACCACTCACCAATGGTCCAGACTCAAGAGTCTGCACCCCAACATCTCCATTCGTTCCTGTTCCCTCTGGAAGGCTGACCAGGGTCACTCAGCACAGACGTCAGGAGTCTTATCATCACCATAACAAAGTGTAAAGGGTTTGAGATGATGCCTCTGAGTAGGCTCAAGCAATCCAGCAAGTCCTGTCACCTCTCTCCTAAGACTCATTCTTTCCCCCAAGGCCTCCACAAAAGCTGCTTCCTTAAAACCCAAAATAGAAACCCAATAAAGCTCAGTGTCCAGTGTCCCCGAAATCTAAGTTCCAAATTCTGCCATCACCTCAGCAACAGCATATGTCACTATGAGATGCTTGACCCAGCACTTGGGCTGATGTCATTGGCTGTTACCAGGGCAACCTAGATCTCAGCAGGTTCTGGTGGAAGCACGCCATCGCTCCTTCTTCTAGGTTCTTCTAGGGGGAGCTGGGCCGGAGGTGCTGAAAAGTCTCCTTGTGCTCTTGAAATGGAAATGAGGATCTCATGGCTGGAGGTGGCAGTCTCAGAGGAGCCTCCAGGGCACTGGGCCCAGCACTCACGCCATGCCACAGATTAAATGGCCTGGGGGGTGGAGGCAGGAAACACAAAGGCGGGCAAAAGGCACCCGTGCCCACTGAGTTCGGTAGCCTGCAGCTGCCTGGACACCTGGTAGGTGATTGGCAGGGGAGGGACACCTGTATTCTCAGCGTTCCATTCCTGCCAGTGTGCCTGGGGAATCACACCTCCCAGGAGACAGAGATGCCAAAATGTGTGTTTCATAAAGGAGGATGTTCCAGTGGTCATGTTGGAAAGCATTCTGACCTCTCGAATGTCCATCCTCTAGGTGCGGGCTGGACTCAAAGACCCTCAAAAGCAGGCAGGATGGTGTGAGGGAAAAGAGCACTGAAGGGGGCGTCAGAGTCTTGGGTTTTAGTCCTGGCTCTGTCCCATTGTGCTGTGTGATCCTGTGCAAGTTACTCGCCCTCTCTGTGCTCTTCCCTAGCTGTACAAGTAAGGGGTCAGACTGTGTGGCTTTCTCAGCTCTGATATTCTTCCACTCTCTTAGAGAAGCTGGTGAGGACTCAAGCGTGGGGACCAGGAAGCCACCAGCCTTTGAGACACTCTCAGACAGGCAAGGGTGCCAGGCAGGGGGATCCAGAAGAGCTGACTTTTACAACCTGCACATGAGGTTGGGCTGCCTTGCCCTTTGCCCTTGCCTTTGACTCTCTGGAGCCAGCTGCTGACCCTGGCCCATGCCTAGCCAGATCCCATCTGCTGCCCAGTCCCAGGCTCCTTGTTCAACCAGGAAAGTTCTCCGGCTTGCCCTACCCTATCCACCTGAAATCACAGACCATCTCGCGTTTGATCTGGAGAGCTCAGAAACAACCAAAGCAAGGGCCTCAGCTCACAAATGAGAGAGGCCAGCCCAGAGAGAGGGCAGGGACTTATAGAAGGCCACACGGCAGATCTAGCTAGGAACCAAGGGCTCCTGCTTCTCGTCCAGCAGTGCTGTGTACCACTCCATGCTTCTCCCTGCTCACTGGGCTTCTTCCTTCCTTCCCTCCACAGAGGCTGCAGGGCCATGCAGAGGGGCTAGGTAATGTGGCTTTGCCAGAGTCTGGGTCTCCTAGGGCACAGTGTCTCTGCCTCATGATGCTCCTAGCTCAGCTGAAGAGGCCCAGGCCCTGTCTTGGCCACAGAGGCGACTATGCTAACAGTGGGCACAGCTGTGGATGGGTACAAGGGGTTACTATGGCCCTTTGGCCTCCTGGGGTCTTGGTCCCTAACCCTCCAGGCCAGAGCTGGGAAGGAAGGGAATGGCCTGGAAATGGAGATGGGGCTGGGACAGGCACAGAACCAACAGTCAACCCACTTCACACAAAGAAACGCGAAAAGAGGAGGAAGAGAGAGGGTGTGGGTGTGGGTGCGGGTGGGGCGGGGCTGTGGGGGAGAGGCTCCATCAGGATTCTGCTGCCCTTGACTGTCAGCTGGTGGAAAGATGGAGGAGGGGTGAGTCTGAGTCTCCTCTGTCTCTGTCATCCCCTTCTCAACTGCGGGTAGAGCTCTATAGCCTGTTGTGGCCCTGAGGGGAAGGAGCCAAGCCTGTTGCATGGGGGACAAGGGGTGAATGGCCACCCCTGCCACTGAGACAGTGGGCCTTCGCCCATACACACCCCCATGGCGGATGCCACTGAGATCAGTGGAATCAGATGTGGTTGATGGAACAGGGTGTAGTGTGGGTAAGAGATGGCTCTGGCATAATGCCAGGAGGGTGGGCAGAGCCACAGGCTCTGGTACCCACCCCCGCCAGGCCTTGGACTCACCCTAGGCTTGACCTGTTGATTTGAGCTGCTTGTCCCCATCAAAATTAGATCAAGGGACAGCCATCACAGGGCAGAACATTCTGGGAGTGTGGGTATAGGTGGGGGAAATGAGAGGCATGGCCAGGAGTGGGGCAGGAGGGGAGGCCAGTGTGTAGGTAAGCTGAGGAGGGCATATGTCCAGCCTCCCATAAGGTCCCAAAATTGGCAGGCAAGGGAGGGGCCCTCATGCCTTAGCCCTCCCCTTGCAGACATCAAAGGCAGCCTTCGTTGCACCCCCAAAGGCCTCCACCAGCTTGTCTTCCCAGGGGAGGACGTTGCCCAGCAGCAGCCCAGTACAGTTGGCAATGCCCAGGACCTGGGCAGGTGTTAGAGCATGGTCCCACAGGTTAAACTGGGCGATGTCACCCACGAAGGCCTGGGTGGCATCAAACCGGCCACCCAGGGTATCCTGAGCCAAGAGAGCAGAGAGAAGGGAGAGACATGGAGGAAGAGAGAAGAAAAGATAGGCAGTTAGACTCAGAGTCAGGCCCCCCACATCCGTAGTCCCAGAGGAAGCCCCGCCCCCGTGGTTCTAGCCCGCCACCGAGTTCTAGCCGCTTGGGCAGGTCCCTGTTCTCTCTGGGCCTCAGTCTGCCCGACCATCTGCAGAATGGCTGGGTCAGACTGAGTGATCTCTGCTGTGCTTTCAAGGTCTCCACCTAGCTCCTCCTCCTCAGGGGCCCTGGGTGGGTGGGACATCTACCTGGGCCTCAAGACCCAATATTGCCTTGAGCCTTACCTGCTCCTGGCCCAGGATAAGGATTCCATGAGGCTTGATGGGGTGCCAGGCGGCTAGGTTCTCCCCGGAGCCTCGCAGCTCCCCATCCTGGTAGGCAGACCACAGGCCATCCCTTGTGGTCCAAGCGATGCAGATATGGTGCCAGCCATTGTCCTTCAGGCTCAGGGGCAGCTGGGCCACCTAGACACAGGTCCCCCAGCCCCAAGTCAGATGTCACAAGGCCCAGGCTGGAGCAGTGAGGTGGGGGACCAGGAGACCCATGTCCTTCTTTCCAGGGACTGACTGAAGGCTTGACCTTCCCCTTCTTCTCAGCCTAGGGTTCTTTCATATC